GAAGGCAATTCTTGCTTCTTTCAAGTCCTTTCTCTTGCAATTTCAACCCTTTGACTTTTAATTGCATCCAACTGAACATGCAACACCTTTAATCTTCATTTTATTGTCCGAATAAACTATTGAATTGTTGCAATTTAGTTCTCATTCTTTGGATTTCCTTCCTTTTTTATCCTTATTCGTTTCTTTTCTCTTGAATTCTGCCACATTCGTCAATATAGTCCTACAAAACATAAGTACATAGAATTAAGTCATAAGTCAAATGTTTTGATCAACAATTAGTCATGTTTTATGGCTAAATAAATGTATAAGTATGTTTTGTGGCCAAATAAGTGTATAAAAATGCACTTATCAAGTCCCCCAAACTGGAACTATTTTTGTCCTCAAACAAGATAATGACTTAACTCTACACAAAACATGGCTTGGCAACCTATCGTGTCTCAGGATTGGAATTCAGTAATCAATGTAAGAAACAGTTTCAACAGTGCAAAAATACAATCAACCTTCACTGGTAAATGTATAACTCGAAGTGTGTGTGTGAACTCATGCCAACATGTCAAGCTCATGATTGGTTTACTCCCTACCCATAGTGGTCAAGTATATCCTTACTTCGCTCAGGAGATACACACCCCCATACTTATTCTCTTCACTCAATTATCCCGAGGTGTGTTCTAAAGTTAGGAGTTTAGGTAACTGTAGTTCTTACCCTCTCTTAGTTTAGATAGATCTCATTACTACAGTTTCACATGTCAACAAGTAAAGGCTCTCCTAGTTTTGATTGCTTCGACCCTTAAGATTGGACTGAGTTACTAGAATCGCATTAAAGATGTAGTTTCATCAACCAAATATTCAAGGGCTTTCTTCATGTTATTGTGTTTTGTTTTGTTTTTTTCTTTTTTTTTTTATATGCCATCTTCTCATTTGCTTTCTATATAACCCCTGCAACGAGCTTTAGGCCGATGACTCTCAAACCAGATGGCTTTAGGGCACCAGATTTAAACCCTTGCAGGCTTATTCAATCGAGTTATAAAGGCTCGATCAAATGATTTTTTATTAACTTTTCCCCTTCTTGCTTTCTATATGACCCCTGTAATAAGTTTTAGGCAGAGGACTCCCAAACCATTTGGCATATATATATATATATATATATATATATATATACATTTTTTTTTTGCCCCTCTTTATTTCTCTAGATATTTAGCTTCTAAAACCATCCTCAACTTAAGGCTTTCTCCTAATTATCATCTAACTAGTTTAGGCAATCCACACAATAAAAATTCGTGCACTGAGCCCCCACTCATCTCAAAGTTCCCCTATAATTGGTCAACCATCTCCAAATTATTTTTAAAATGGCTTATGGGTCAATATGATAGAAATTTTCTAGTTTCTTCTACTTTATTCAAAAATCCAATACTAACCTAACATGTAGGGCATGAGTAGCATGGGCAAAGAACTGTCAAGTATTACATCAAAAAATACATGTTAATTACCTTTTGCACCATATCCACAGTTTCTAATTATATTATTCCAATAAACATATCATAGCCAGTAAGGTTATCAAGCCCACACAAGCACATAAATTCAGAAAAGAGATAGACAAAACATGCCAATTTTCCACTTCTTTTCCATTTTTTCACTCGACAATCACACTGAAAGAAAAATAATTAAACACAGTTATTAATGAATATAAACAATGCGACAAAAAATGGAAACCAAAATTATGCCACCCCCAAACTTATTCATAACATTTCCCTCGGTGTGGAAATGAAATAAAATTTTAAAGGACAATAATAAACTAAAACCACAAGATGGGATACGAGTACTTTCCTGATCTATATGGAGGTGATGAATGAAACCAAGGACCCTGTAGCAACCCAAAAAAAAAATTTATAGATAAAATTTTATTTATTTTGTATATTATATAAATTCCTATTTTATCTGGGTTAAATAAATTAGATTCTGACAGAGAATTGATAAGTATATCAATATTATACTCATTGGGTAGCTCGTAATTAATCATGTATTTTAGGCCGGAGAAAAAGTTATTTCGGATAAATTAGGCCCAAGATACTTAAGTTCGAATATATTATCTTTATTTGACAAATAATTGGAGTTTGTCTATGATTTTAGCTTTACAACCATGATTTCACGTGTAGATAACCTTTGGATTTTGATTGAGATGAAAGGATAATTGTCAACTCCTAGTTGCTGTTATCTACTTGAATTAAAATAGTAGAAAATCTCACAATTTATGCTGTAGAGTGTAGAGAGTTGGGATAGTACAATATAAATCATATCACTTCGCTTGATGATCACGGCAGTTCCAATTCTCTTTTTGCAAATGTAAAGATTTCCTTTGGCAAAAAATAACTTATTTAAATACAATTTAAACTCCATCATCCGTCACTTCCCCATATTCCCTATTCTATTTAGATTATTAGGATTTATCTAAATATAGTTATAATGTAATCATACTTAAAGATTTAGGTTTATCACATCATGATTTGTTTTATCAAAAATTTTGCTTTATCCAATTGGGTGGTACACATCTCTTTCATCCCAATTTCACCAAAACTCTATCATCTTTTCTACTATAAATACCATGTCAAAAGTCTCATCATTCACTACTAAAAAAAATAAACACAATTTAAAGCAGAAAGAGAGAAAAAAAAACGTGTGAGACTGAGAAGAGAGAGAGGAAGAGAGAGAGAGAGAGAGAGAGAGAGAAGGTAGCATTGAAAATAAAGTTTGCATACATTGAATATTTTAATCACGTATTTTTCAAAGCGGAGAAAAGATTTTGAACGTGCTTCAGATTTTTCTAACAAGGTAAGATACATGTGTAAGTTGTTTTCGTTTCTATATACTTTTTTATGCAATTAAAAAATGCATGGATTACCGTAAATATTTTTTTTTAAAAGAAATATGAAATCCTACGAGATTATAAGAGGACCTAAAATGGGTGTGTCGCTTGGTCACCGATAAACTCTATAAGATCAGATGGTATGAATTGTAATTTTTATTGTTATTTATATGTATATGGAAATTGCATGTATCTTATTGGGTGTTTTCGAATACTCACTCTTACAAATTTTTACAGGTGAGTTCGTGTCAATTGGAATTGTAGAAGGACGGTGATGCGAGCTGCCAACTGGATCAAATGAAAAGAAAAATAAATGAGTTTGTCGTCTTTAAATTTACCAATTAGTTTAATTTTATTCCAAACGTATTATTTGAATTATTTAAGAGTTTATTTTATGTTTAAATAAAATTTTCATATTTTAAATTTAGATTTATAAATGTTGCAGTTATTTGTTTAATAAAGAATTTTATTTTTATAGTTCTGCACATAAAATAAAGAAAAATAAGTTTTTCGTAACGTTCCAGAGTTTATAGAAAATTGGGGTGTTACAGCTTCGTATCAGAGCACGGTTTGACCTTTCTGTAGACTTCTTTTGGAAAAAAAAATATATTTTGAACAGTTCACGTGAACTATACTGTTCACGTGAACAATAAAAAAAATTTTAAAAAAAGTTTTGAAACGATGTTACTGTTCATGTAACAGTAAGGACCCCCAAAAAAATTATTTTACATGACATAGCAAAGAATTCTAGGATTTTAATTATGACGTGACATACTTTGAATATTGCAAATTTTTTATAGATTTTGTCGCATTTTTTAGTAGTTTGGATTACCATTCACATCAATACCCATTTATTTTTATGCATTTGTCTCTTTATTTTGAAGAATAAATTATTGTTTAAATTGATTCTGAGTAGTAGCAGTTTAGAATTTAAATTGTTATAGTTTCATGCCTATGATTTAAATCTTACATATGATAAATTTCTATGTGTTTTAACTTTAGCTTTTGGGGATGTTTTAAAAAAAAAAATGGACCTTTGAAAAAAATAATATTTTAAGAGATTCCACGTTCAATTTATTGTTTGAATTTTGTTCAATTGCATAATTGCAAAATTGAAAGGCTTTGTCAAAAGGACCTAAATTGTCTAAAAAAAAGCTTGAGATTTAAGCGGTCCCTCTGTGACCCCCCTCCTCATCTAGAAGTCTTTTAATTGTGCGTTATTCAAATCGACAAAATGAAAGATAATATTTTTGACAATTATAAATTTAAGAAAATTCAAAAATTTTGAAACTTCTATTTTGAGAAAACTTTATTAAAAGATGTATACATGTACTTATAATAATAATAATAATAATAATAATAATAATAATAATAATAATAATAATAATAATAATAAAGTGAGATTTTGTGAAAAAATTATGTAAAATGAGATTATATGCCTTAATTAATATGTAATTGTATACATACTTTGAAACCAAGCTTTCAAATGTTAGCCCACAATTACCTAAGTATATATTAATTTTTATAATATAAGTAAATTTCTTAAAATACTACGTGGTTGTTATCTAGCTCTATTAGTACTTACGTGTTATTACTATGATTTTATTTTCAAGAATGTATATGTATGTATTATATGTTTGTGTTTAAATAACCATTTATAACTTGATTTTAAATAATGATATCGTTGTTCTGAATTTTTACTTCTTGACATTTTCTATTCTAAGAAATTCATAAATAATTATAGTCAAATTATTATAAAAAATAAAAAAAGGAGAAAGGACAAGAAAATAGGGAGTTTAAAGGATAATGTAATTTTTTTTTTTAAAATAAATAATGTTATACAAACACTTGGCATGTGGCGCTCACCATTCGACTACTCTCCAATTGATCCCGGGTATGAAATGAATTCGTTTCATTCTTAATTTCTAGCATGGTTATGAGTCATATTTCTACATGTTATGAAATGTATAAACATGTTCACCTCGCATAATATATTTGTCATTTTTACATTTTACTAGAATATCGTGTATGCACTAAAAAATAAAAAAATACTGATAATGCAAAATTAAACATAATTGAAATTATAATTGTCACGTGATTAGGATGACTAGGAATTACCCAAACTACCTCCAGCATGCTGAAATGGCTATTGAGAACAACATAGATTATGAAGTAAGATGGGAGCGAACTTTTGTTGAACATGTTGAAGATTTCCTTTCTAAGTGGGAGCGGGCAAGATCATTCGGATATAATGAGGGGACAATCCTCTTGATATACCACCTTTTAAGCACTATGCGACCTCAATGGAGAGACGTGACTTACTTCGTGAGGGATATGGATTATGAGTTATATTTGGAAGAAGATTGGGACAATATTGATTTTAAAGGATACTGTGAGGATATCATAATTTCATGGAATCACAGACAACAAGTACCAGCACCCGAACCAGAGCCAGAGCCAGAGCCAAAGGAGGACCCGGAGGAGGAATCGGAAGAGGACCCAGAGGAAGATATTGAACCAGAGTTGGAAGACCCTAAGAAGGAAATGCAACCACAAAATTTCGTTGATTTGATTGCAGATTCCGAGTCAGAGTCATGCACTACTTCAGAGATGAGATGCCATAAAAGAAGATTTTTTTCAGGACACAGGGGGATTAGGATTAAGTGTTATTTATTTACTTAGGAAAAGTTTAATTGTTTAGTTGATTTTGAAGAGCACATTATTATATGTAAGGATTTGAAAATTTATATTTTTAAAATTCTTCGTTATTACAAAGATTATTAATAATATTATGTTGTTTTATTAAATATTTCTAAATTAAAATTTTATTTGTGTTAAGAAAATGTTGAGACAACAACAAAATCAAGCTACGATCATCAGGGATTTGCTAAGGGTAGTACAAGACTTGGATAGGCAACAAGCACAGGCTGGTCCCCATGGTGCATACGCTAACAACACCACCTTAATTGTGGAACAGTTTCGTCACTACAAACCCCCAACCTTCGATGGCAAGGCAAACCCACTAGTAGTCGAAGAATGGAAAAGAGGAATGGAGTGAATCTTCAAATATCTATCTTACATTGATGCTCAAAAGGTGTTATGCACAGAATTTATGTTGGTTGACGTTGCATGCCACTGGTGGGAGTTAGCATCTTGCACTAGAACAGAAGCACAACAATGTGCTCTGACGTGAACACAATTTAAAGATGAAGTGATGGCAAAATACTTTCACCAAACACTGAGAGATCAAAAGGAGACAAAATTCCTTCAAATTAAACAAGGAAAATGAAGCTTGAGGATTATGAGAGAAAATTCGAACAACTATCAAGGTATGTACCACACCTAGTGGACACTGAAGCAAAGAAAGCAAGGAGGTTCGAACAGGGATTGCATCCTGAGATTGGTGGAATACTAGCATCCCATCAATTCACCACCTATAGCCAAGTATTGCAGACTGCCCAAGCAATCTCAAATAGGTTGGAAATTGACCAAACTCCCCAGAAAGGGCCGAGTTTTCAGGAAAGAGGAAATGGAATGGGTCCAACGAAGAGAAAGGAGAAGGACCGAACAAGAAGGCTAACTTCGGACCAGGTTTTGGACAAGTCGTTCCACCTTGTCCAAAGTGTAAGAAAATACATAGGGGTGAATGTCTGTATAGGAAGCATGTGTGCTATAGATGCGGTAAAATCAGGCATATTTCCAAAAACTGCAAAGAGGACCTTTCGAAGAAGAATGACGAGCCAAAAAAGAAAGGAAATGCCAGAATTTTTACTTCAGCCCAAAGACAGGCCACGGAAGATCCTAACGCAGGTAAATTTCAAGGAGGAAATTCTCTTAAGGGTAGATTGTAGCAACCCAAAAAAAAAAATTATAGATAAAATTTTATTTATTTTGTTTATTATATAAATTTCTATTTTATCTGGGTCAAATAAATTAGATCTTTATAGAGTATCGATAAGTAAATTAATATTATACTCATTGGGTAGCTCGTAATTAATCATGTATTTTAGGCCGAAGAAAAAGTTATTTCAGATAAATTAGGCCCAAAATATTTAAGTTTGAAGATATTATCTTTATTTGACAAATAATTGGAGTTTGTCTATGATTTTAGCTTTACAACCATGATTTCACGTGTAGATAACCTTTGGATTTTAATTGAGATGAAAGGATAATTGTCAACTCCTAGTTGCTGTTATCTACTTGAATTAAAATAGTAGAAAATCTCACAATTTATGCTGTAGAGTGTAGGGAGTTGGGACAGTACAATATAAATCATATTACTTTGTTTGAGGAACACAGCAGTTACAATTCTCTTTCTGCAAATGTAGAGATTTCCTCTGGCAAAAAATAACTTATTTAAATACAATTTAAACTCCATCATCCGTCACTTTCCCCATGTTCCCTATTCTATTTAGATGATTAGGATTTATCTAAATATAGTTATAATGTAATCATACTTAAAGATTTAGGCTTATTACATTATGATTTGCTTTATCAAAAATTTTGCTTTATTTAATTGGGTGGTACACGTCTCTTTCATCCCAATTTCACCATAACTTTATCATCTTTTCTACTATATATATCATGTCAAAAGTCTCATCATTCACTACTAAAAAAATAAACACAATTTAAAGCAGAAAGAAAAAAAAAACGTGTGAGACTGAGAAGAGAGAGAGAGAGGAAGAGAGAGAAGAAAGAAAGAGAGAGAGAGAGAGAGAAAGGAAGAGAGAGAGAAAGAAAAGGTAGCATTAGAAATAAAGTTTGCATACATTGAATATTTTAATCACATATTGTTCAAAGCGAAGAAAAGATTTTGAACGTGCTTCAAATTTTTCTAACAATATAAGATACATATGTGTAAGTTGTTTTCGTTTCTATATGCTTTTATATGCAATTAAAAAATGCTTGGATTGTCGGTACACTTTTTTTTTAAAGAGATATGAAATCCTACAGGATTATAAGAGGACCTAAGATGGGTGTGTCGCATAGTCACCGATATACTCCATAAGAACAGATGGTATGAATTGTAATTTTTATTATTATATATATGTATATGAAAACTGCACGTATCTTATTGGGTGTTTTCGAATATTCACTCTTACAAATTTTTACAGGTTAGTTCGTGTCGATTGAAATTGTGAAAGGATGGTGATGCGGGCTCCCAAGTGGATCAAATGAAAAGAAAAATAAATGAGTTTGTCGTCTTTAAATTTACCAATTAATTTAATTTTGTTCCAAACATATTATTTAAATTAGTTAAGAGTTTATGTTATGCTTAAATAAAAATTTTATATTTTAAATTTAGGTTTATAAATGTTGCAGTTATTTGTTTAATAAAGAATTTTATTTTTATAGTTCTGCACCTAGAATAAAGAAAAATGAGTTTTTCGTAACGTCCGGAGTTTATAGAAAATTGGGGTGTTACAGACCCGCAATACTTCTCCTCTCCATGTGACATTCTTTTTGGTAGCATCATATCCCCGAAACTTGCTTCAAGGTGCATGTGTACATAAATTATATCTCAATATAGAGTTTATATCAAAAAAATGTGAATCACTCTAACGAAACTTAGCTTTAGACATGCACTTTGTTCAATTTGACCCATGACTAACTAAAATAAAACTTCAACCTCATAGCTCGTGCTCAATGCATATGGATTCGTGTGGATTGTGCTTAAGCTATTTATTGACATGCATGGACAAAAGATGACATAAACTATAAACAATGCAAACACAAAATTGAAAGATTCCTAAACTAATGCAAAAAGCAAAATAACTTAAAAGGATACAGTGGGTTGCCTCCCACCCAAAGCTAGTTTATAGTCGATAGCTCAACTTTTGGTACAAATGTTTCATGGCACTTTATATATGGCTTGGGAGGTCCTACATAGTTTACTTAATATGGTCTTGTTTTGCATTATAGTTATCCTCCGAATTTCATCCCTATCCTTCTCCAAGTGGTGTGACTTTCTTTCCTTATTCGTATGAAATCCTACGTTGAATGCCTTAATCTCCTTCGAATCGATGAGAGTGGATGAAGAGCGTACTACACAAGCTTCTTCAACTCAAAATTATAGGGGATTCCTATGTCAACCACTTCAATCTGGAAACAGCGTTCAAGCTCGGTGGGGTATTTCATTACCTTGAAAACATTAAAAGAAACTTGCTCCTCTCCTGACCTCAAAGTTAATTGTCCTTGCTGCACATCTATAAGGGCTCTTGCAATAGCCAAAAATGGTCATCCTAATATGATAGGCACATCCTTGTCTTCTTCCATGACCAAAATCAAGAAGTCCATTGGGAATATGAGTTTACTTCGATAATCCCTCGTGGATGTGTAAGTGAATGATCAGTCAGCTATAAAGTTACTATAGTTGCCTTGGGTTCTCCCAATCCTAGTTTCCTGAATATAGATAGTGGCATTAAGTTAATACTTGCACCAAGATCACACAATGCTTTATTAAAATAAAAATCACCAATTGTGCAAGGAACAGTGAAACTTCCTGGATCCTATAGTGTTGGTGGGAGCTTTTTCTGGATCCTAGCGCAATACTCTTCAGTTAACATCACTATTTCATGTTCCTCTAGCTTACGTTTATTCGTTAAGATATTTTTCAGGAACTTGGCATAACCGGGCATTTGGAATAGTGCATCAACGAATGAAATGTTTATGTGGAGCTTTTTGAAGACTTCGAGGAATTTCTTATATTGCTGCTCGAGCTTATACTTCTTCAATCTCTGAGGGAATGGAATAGGAGGCTCATATGGGTTGACTGTAGCTGTGGCCTTATCCTGTGATTTCTTTAAACTTTCCTTTGGAGTTGATTCCTTTGGTTGTTCATCCTACTCCTTAGTTTCTTCCTCTGTAGGAGGTGCTGTCTCTCCATTCACACTCGGCCTCTTGACATGTATTTCAGGTAGCTATACCCCACTTCGAGTTGTAATGGCCTTAGCATGCTCCTTGGGGTTGATTTTTATGTGTTACTTAGCATATTACCCGGTTTTACCAGTCAATGCAATGGCTATCTGTCCCATCTGAGTTTCCAATTTTTTTATGGCAGCATTTTGGTTCTAAAGAGTGGCTTCGACCTTCTCCATGAATTTCCCTAACATCTCTTCCAATTGAGGCTTATTCTCGTGCCGCTGAAACTGTCTATGTGGCATATTCTGATTCTAGTTGCTCCAAGAGATGTTGGGATGCTTCTTCCAACTGGGATTGTATATTTTCCATACGAATTGTTCTGTTGGCATTGTCCCTATTGTACAAAGTATGCCTACTCAATTCCTCTTTTTTTTTTTAAATTGGGCACTCTGTTGTTTTATTCTCAGCTCCACACTCCTCACAACTGATCTTCTTAGCTTGTGTTGCTTGTGATATGCTTTCCATCTTATGAAATAGTGAGTCAATCTTTACAGATAAGGCTAAATATGCATCTATCTCATAGACACCTGAAGGCTTTTTCTGAATCACCCGCTCAGAGGACCACATGGTTGAAGTGGTAGCCATTCTCTCAAACAATTCCAGTGCTTCATCGATTGTTCGTATGGATATTGAGCCATTTGATGATGAGTCCACCATACTTTTGAAATACAGGAGTAACCCATGTTGAGGGCACTTCCGGAGCATGTTTTTGAATCTATTCTAAGCTTTGTCAAATGATTCAGATTTTCCTTGACTGAATATTGAAATCTCATGTCTCAGTTTCGCTATCTTGGCTGGTGAGAAGAAACTCGTGCAGAATTTATGAGCCAACTCGCTCTAAATAGTGATGCTTGCAATCGAAAGTGAATCCAACCATTCAAATGCCTTATCCCATAGTGTATGTGGAAACAACCTTGCTTAATAGCATCGTTCAAAATTCCCTGATACCTGAAGTGTTGACACATATCCAAGAATCAAGATATGTGTGTGTGTGGATTTTCTTCAACTCTGCCATAAGATTGGTGTCCATTTTGGAACAGTTGTATCACATTGGCCTTTATTTGAAAATTAGGCTACCGAAACGGTGGATACACTACACTGGACTAGCTTTGAATTACTTGAGGAGTCAAGAAATCTCCCAAAATATTGTTTCCTTTATCCACCGCTGCTCTTTCATTGGTTGGGATAATAGGGTTGTTCAATTCGTTACCCATTTGCAACTGTATTTCTCTATTTTCTCTTTGCAATCGATGAAAAGTGCTCTCAATTTCAGGATCAACTGGAATCAATTCTTCTCCAGTTGATCTTGGCATGCAACTCTGTGAGAAAACCAGTAGTAGCACTCAGATTCAAACAATTTGAATAACTATAATAAAAATAAAATAAAATAACCTAAGCGAAAAAAATAATAAAAATAAAAATTTGAAGTTCAAATTAGTGCCTAGAAAAATGAAATTAAACAAAATTCAATCACCGGCAACGACGCCAAAAACTTGTTCACGAAATATTTTCATTCAATTTAAATCACCACAAGTGGATCAATTGAGTCCGAATATCGTCCTACAAAGATTGATTAGTTTAATCTTATCTACCCAGGCCTTAACCGAAACTAAACTTTGACAAGTGATTCTATAACCTAATTACTCCCTAACCTAAGCGAACTGTGCAATTAATTGTGTAGGCAATGAATAAAATACAAATTGATATTTATATGAACTAAAATGCTATTAAATATTGAGAATGCAATTTAATGTATTCAGTAATTATATGACGCACTATGATCACAAATCCCCAAGCAATGCTCAATTCAACCATAGTTCTATAATTTGACATGTTAAAATTATGAAGAATCAATGCTCCTAAATCTATCCAACAGTCTCTCTTGATCAAAGTTAAACCTGCTCTCATTTACCACTAACCTATATCTCTATGACGGATACAAATATATAAGAATGTATGTAATTTTGTGAGTACTTAAAGATTTACGTAGAGCATAGTGGTATATCTTTATCCCCTATCGGACCCTATGATGATTTATACCGTGTCGAACTTAGTCCGAATTTATATGAAAAACTTGCATTGATTCACAAGATTTATCACATGATTGCACATGAATAGATATTATTCCAAATACCAATTGTCCATGTGTTGATTTTTGGCGTGCTGTCGCAGAAAAGCTACCTACTGCATTAACTTGTTTATCTTCTTGGAGAATTGGGCACATATTAGGCTATTCTGCCACTGAGAAAATTCCACATGCCTTCGCCGTTTGCATATTACCTAAAGTCATTTGACGAATAAGAGAAGTTAGACTCACAAGTTGTTGTTCAAGGGATGAAACATTTACCTCATTAACATTTCTAGAAGGAGAGTCGAGTCTAGTGCAAAATTGTTGAGAGTTGGCTGCCATGTTTGCAATCAAATTCCTCGAGCCCTCAGGAGTTTTATCCACCAGTGCTCCTCCACTTGCAGCATCAACCATACTTTGTTTCGTGGGTAGAAGGCCTTCATAGAAATATTGGATAAGAAACAAAAGTTGTTAGTGGGTGACAAAACAAAAGTTCCCACCAATGACAATGTAATTGGTTTGTTAAAAATACAAAAAAAAAAAAAAAAAAAAAAAAAAAGAAAAAAAAATATAGTAAATATTCAACAACCATAATATATGGTCGTTGATAGACTAAAACAACAACTAATTTTAACTCGGTGTTGAAACTAAAAAAAAAAAAATTGACATTCAAAGTAGTCGTTAATTGTGTTTTCAATTTCCACATCTTAAAATTTTGCTTCCCGCCTAAAAATTCACTTGGCTCTTGAAATTTCATTTCACAGTCAAATAATTTTCATTCACCCACGCTGGCATTTCATTTCATTCCAGAACCCTAACCTCAAATCCATAACTTCATCTCTTCTCATGGATTTGCACCGCCTCACTCTTCCTCTTCCTCACTATCTCTGACTCTTTCTCTTTGAGCATATAGAGAGAAAAGGGAACCTCAAATTTCAATATGTTTCGAATCAGAACAGAACAGAGTCCCACAGTAATTGAAATCCTAATTGTGCAGCCGATTAGAAATAGCAATTGAACAGAATCCCATTAGTCCCTTTGAGTCCCATTACACACAACAATTGAACGGAGACTTTCCATCCGCCATCCGCTTGTGCCGTTGTGCGGGAGATTCAATCGACACAAGAGACGGGAAAAATTTTGCGGTGCTGTTGCTATCGATTTAGCGATCCGCCTGCCGTCGTTGACAGTTGCCATGGTAGTCCATCGCCAATCGCCACAGTCGTTTGCTTCACAAGCCCGGGGTGACTACAGCCTTTAAATTATTTTGTGTTTTGATTTTTACTTACATCTACTTTGATTGATGATTTGTGAATGGGTAGCTCTATTTACATCCATTTAAGTATATCCACTTTTAAAAATAAAATTTTAGTCATATATAAATTTACTTAAATAGACATAAGTAGTAATGAAATCCACACCCATTTGTTGAATCAATTACTTCAATTCTACCCAAATCATCAAAATTATATTCTGCCGGACGAAAAATTATAATTGGCAGCCAGCTACTATTCAGTTTTGAGTTTTACCAACAAACCCCAGCAATTCTTTTGTTGTTCTTCTTCATTTTCTCATTCTTCTTTTCCATTTTTTTTCAAAATCAAATGATGGTTGTTGGCTAATGATTTTAGGTTGTGTTTGGACGTGGTTGTAGGGTGGTGGGTTTTGGTTTTTTGTGGGTGTGGGGTGGGTGTTCGAGGAGGAAGAACATGTCTTGGTTTTATCCAGTGACACAGTGGGCAACACCTTGTTGCCGGAGAAGAACGAAGGAGGGGGACCAGGTGGGGAGAACATTGGGATTTGGGAAATTGGAATTTGTCTTTTGACTTTTGTTTTTTGTTTTATGTTTTTCTTTTTATGTTTTAATATTATTCTAAGCTTACTCATATAGAACTTTGACATTCACTTACAGATGATCCAGCAAAGTTATCGTTTGTATGATTGCTTTAATGATAAAATTGCCTTCTTTGGGCAAAAAAAAACTAAGTAGTCTCGGATATAATGATGAGTTTGCCAATCATAAATGCCAGAAACGATTATTGTTTGTAATCCAATTATAATTATTTTATCTCATTTTAAATATCCCTTGTTTTGTTCTTATTTCATTCATTTGTTTTGAAAGAGTTTATGATTTTAGAAATTGTATGAATCTATAGTGTTAGGAATGTATTTAAAGTAGAATGAATATATAAAATTCACGTGGATATATAATATTTAAATGAATGGATTTAATAAGGGGAAAATTGGAAATGACGTGGATGTTAATAGTATTTTTTTAAAAATTTTAAAATTTTATTAGGGATTCACTTAGCGTGGGATGTACTTATAAAAAGCGTGGATGGAAATAGCAATACCCTTTGTGAATATCTGTGACTGTGAGTCTGTGAATTGGTTGAACTTACATATTCCGAATAACTCGTGATTAATTCATTCTATTTTCTTTGGGATGGATTTTGGGTAATTTTTTATTGATATTTTAACAAACTTTTCTATCACAATGATGGAAATAGAAAACTATTTTTAAGAAGCAAGAAATTTTGCAAACGAGGATGCAACGATCTTGCAATGATATTTTTTAGATCGTTGCATCACAATGGGCAGTAATTTTGCAAACGAGTACTTGGATCAGTTACAACAGGTAATGTCAAATAGTTTATTCACACACCTTCTATGAAGGGGAATAAGCAATTGAATCTTGATCATGATAATTGGCATGAAAAGCCTTCCCTTTCTTTGCTTCTTGACGTTTCTTTAAAGAAAATAAAAAAATAAAATTGTTCTTTCCACATCATTGTTTATATGAAGCAATTCTGAAAGGGGGCTATCTATTTTGCAGGAGTAGTAGTACATGTACTTTGTCAAACCATTTTTTTAATCAAAGTATATACTTTGATTAAATTTCTTGAATTAGTACATTGGGTTTATTATTTCTATAGTGATTAATATGATTCCCTTTTTACTCTTTCAGTTGTTTTGTTATTTTTCTTTCATAGGTTAAGAAATGTCAGTGGATAAGAGTTGGACATTGCATAATAGGATAAGAGTTGGACATTGCTGACTAATAGATAAGAGATGCATTATAGCAATGAATGCGGGTAGACAACTAAAGAAGCGGAGTCTCATTATGTGAGCAACTGATGCTTTTGAAAGAATCTGAAATATGTGAGCAAGTTTTGAGCAAGAGATTTAGCTATGTTGATCAATAGAAAAATTCAAAGGAGACAATGTTAAAAAATTGTGGTACTTGTTCAGAGAATGCTGCTTTACAGAATGAGGTTCAAGATCTTTGTTTTCAATTGGAATCTATGTAGACATTCTTAAATTGCATTATAGAAGAGTTTCTTCTTCGACCTAATATTATTATCAATTGGCTTTCCTCACTTTTTATAATTGTTTTTTATTGTGGAAAAATTTTGCTTGTAGTATGATGTCAACGTGTGACAATTATGAATTCATTAATATTATCGTCGATAATTATATTTCTCTTTATTTTAATATTTCGATTATTAATATGAACTTTTTGTAACCACTTATTTTGTTGTTAAAAATGGATGCCAACTAAATTTCGGTTGTTTCAATGATATTTTATCAAAAATAATTAATACAGCGACAAATCAAGTAGATGTTGAAATAAAATTGGTTGTTAATTTTAATTTTTTTACAACCATTTCTTCCATCATTGAAATGAAATACAACTAAAATTTGGTTGCTTTCATTGTATTTTAATGACAAAAATAGTTAATATAACAACCAAAAAAGTGGTTGTTGAAAAAAGAATTGGTTGTCAGTACAAACCTTTTATGACTAATTATTTAGTTGCTAAAAAAATACATTCAACAACCAAATATGCTTTTAGTTGTTAAATACATTCGCCAACACCCCTTTGCCAACCAAGGAACAACCAACTGATTTTGGTTGTTGAATATTATCAAAACCAAAAATGTATATCTACGATCATTTACATAGTCGTTGAAAGTGATATTTCCTGTAGTGAAAAATTGGGTTATATTAAACATAGGTTTAATATATTTTGGAAAAGAATATTGAATAAAAGTATATTATCGATTGTTTTGGATACATTAATTTGCTAAATTATAAATTAAGAGTTGAATTAAATGGCAATAGAGGGATTCACGATTCCAATACAAAATTTACATATTAAATAAATACTTTATTTGCATTATTAGTTTAAGATTAGTATAAAATACATATAAACCAACTCTTTTGATTTTATATTATTTCGAATTTAATAAAAGTTATTGAACTAGATATTAAATCTTATTTTTTGTGGGACGATAACTCTCTCATCACAATTATTACTTGTACAACGAACCCATATGCTTGCGGGGTTTCACCGAAAAAATTGACTAAGTATATCATGATTTAAAATCTTGATACGCTTGAATAAAAATTTATGAAGCATATAGGTACGGTATTAATACTAATATGGCAATGTTTGTGTGACAATTGACATTTAACAACTCTGAAGAAGAATATTTATGGAATCGCTATTTGTATCCTCAGTAATCACAACGGCGTCAAAAATATGCTTTTCCACGTAATCTCTGCGTTACAAGAAAATAATTCTTAATTATCTTAAAAGTTGTAGCCAAATGACTTGAATTTTGAAAATAATATACAACTAAAGATGTCCCTAAAAAGTAATTATTTTGATTATTTATTCAAATAATAACGCGCCCGATGTTTAACTATAACATTTGGTCAAGAGAAACATGTAAAAGAAAAACTCAAGCCTNGCATAGCACCTAGAAACCTCCAAAAGCATTCAACTGTGAGCACAGCCATGATGACGTTGGGTGACGCTGGCGCTTAGATCAACAGTGTGACTACAAATTCACGACGTCGTATGAGAAGGTGTGGCGGCGATTCATGAAAAAGAGGATAGAAAATTGACAGCTTCGCGCCTGTTGCAGTGAAACTCCGACCACGACTTCTTTTCTTCCGATGTATCTCTACTGTAGCGGCGTCGATCTTGCATCGGAACCAACAATGTCTCTGTCGACGTGAGAAGAGAGACAGGATTGAAAATTGAAAATTGAAAATGGGGGAAATGATTTAGGGTTCTTAATTGAATTGGGTGAATTATATATAATACCTAATTTTTGTACAAGTAAATATTACTCCTGAAGTTTGAGTTTGAAAGTTTAAATACCTAGATTTGTGTAATTTCCTCTTTTTTTTATCTTGCTTGGGGCCCATTCTTAAAGTAACATTCACACACCAAGCTTTCGAAGTGGCATGATTTAAAGTACCCTTGATTTGGTATATGGCCACTTATATGTACCATTGAGCTGATACATGTACCCTTGAGTTGATACATGGTCGTTTATAGGTGGTGTACCCTTAAGTCGCTACATGATAACTTTTACGTATTCAGTTGATAGGTATACAATTGGGTCAGTACATGATCATTTATACATGATGGACCCTTAAGTTGGTACATCGGCATGCAAATTTACTTAAGACACTTGGCCCCTTTTTTATTTGGATAAAAAAAAATACATTTTTATTAGATTTTCATAAAATTTAATGAAATATTTGGTTGAAAAAATTTATAAAAATTGTGAATTTTATAAAATGTATAGTAAAAAATGAGCTTTAAAAAATTATACGAAAATAAAAAAAACTTTAAAGAATGGGGCCAACACGAGCTTAATATGTTCACAATTATGCTTTGATCTTACTTGAGATAGCAATTTAGCACTGATAATCACATTCTTTTAAATGGACTTCACTTTGACAAGAATTCTCACATAGCATGAGGGTTACATGAACATGTTTTGTCTCTTATTTCGTCCTAGACATGAAGACATCTTATGGTAAGTTGATTAAACTTCTAAAACCTGTAAAATATTACTGATAAACATGTATCACATTGGGGAACAAGACATAGAGGCAAATACCACTAGAATCGTTAGGTGCATGTATGAAAAATAGACTTTAAATTTGTCACATTATATATTCAACGTGTCATCTACTTTATCATATGCATGAATATAGATCAAGCTCATGATGCATACAAAATCTTATAGCTTCGATTCAATCAAAATCACATTTAAAAAAATAATTAAAAAATAAAAAAACCCTTAACCATAAGTTAACAACTTAATTTACTCAAGGCTTAATCTTGACATATTATACGTAAGAGATCATAAATTACTCACCTAAGCAAGATCAAAAATTACTATAGCCATGACCTAGTCACTTTTTCAGGAGGTAATATATCCTTCGATGCACAGAATTTGGGAAATTAATCATTTTCATATGATTAATGTTATTTGCAGTCGCTCACATATATGTGGCGATTAATAATTTAATGTATAAAGCAATAAAAAATTACCACATTAATGCATCAAATCATTAACTGCACGTAGGGCGATTACGACAGTGAACAATAGCAAATGGCATTACTCTTTTCGTATTGACTCTTTCGATACGTATATTTAACATGCTACTACTCCACAATATTTGTGTAAGGGAGAAAATCTATCTTAAAAAATCTTCAAGAAGCTAGGAAATTCATATACATTATTCAAAATAGTGGAGATTAAAAACCACAAAAAGATGAGAATAATTAAAACATCAAAAACAAAATTATAATTTGAGAAGAAATAACTTTTTCTTAATAAATCTTATACGATCCATAAATGAGACATACTAGAGCCTATAATTTAATTATGGACTACTTTGAAAATGTACTAACATAAAAAAATACTGAGCCCCATTTGGATTCCATTAAAATTTTAATATATATTTTTTCTCTGCTTGTTTTAACCACATACTTTTCAATAAAATAATATTATACGTAAACTCAAAACTTTTTTTTTTTTTTTTTTTTTTTTGTAACCTCACATTCTTCAAAAATGGCTATTTCAGAATACATTTTTTTTTCCCACAGATACACTATAATGGAAGTAAAATAGGGGCTAACTATATACATAACTATCTAGAATCGAGAAACAACAATAAACATATTGAACTCGCTCTATCTGAGCAAAAGGAAACAATATAATTCAAAAGAGAACCACAAACTTAAGATAACCAAAATGGTATACCAAAACCCAAAATATGAATATATCAAATTCAACTGTCACACGTTATTAAAAAAAATTGATGATGATGATGATGATGATGATGATGATGATGATGATGATAATAATAATAATAATAATAATAATAATAATAAAATCACTTAAATTCGTAAACAATGCCAGAAAATAAATTTGGAGAATAATGAATTTTTAAAAAATGGAGATCAGACGGGGTTTTACTCTGATGCACTGCTCAAACAATGAATTAAAGCATAAACAGATGTAAAGGGCTTACATTGCGCACAACATTCAAAAAATTCACATTTGCCCCATTTTTCCTGGTAGATGATGCAGATGATGAATTGAATTAAATAACATAGGATCTAGGTTCGTTGAATCCACAAATTAGCATCATACACCCATCAAATTCAAACGTGTGGACTAGATATATTTATGTTTGAGGATTCCATTTACTACAGTACAAAGACAGTATCTCAGCCGAACTTTGAGACTCATATTGTTTACATTACTCAATTAATACACACACATGTTTGCATAGTTATTGCAATCGGAAATACGAGTGAAACAGTGACTCGTCTTTAGTAATGCCAAGCAGTTCTCCAAAGAAGCTCTTGATTGGCGATGGACACCTATAATATGAGGCGTCAGATATTATCTCCACTGATCCCTCGTTCTGGTTTTTCACAGTCCTGGCATGAGCTTTCTCATATAACCTTTTTGTGATGCATCATTCAAATAAGGAACAACATACTTCTTCATATCATCTTTGGAGATCCTAAGATGATTTCCTGCCACTTTTATGTACCTCACTCTTCCAGCATCATCCAAGGTTTTCAATCCAATCCAGTCCTCAGTATACAGCTTAGTCTGAGCACGAAAGACAGCTTAATAATCAGAATCCAATGAACTTAAAAGTGCAACAGAAACATCAATAATCAAAGGCATAACAAATATGGGGTTCCTCAGTAGAACAAAGAATGAGAGAGAGGCCCGCCTAGGTGAATCATGATAGGCCTTTCACCATGAGAAATTTAAGGAGATCTATAGTTACCAGATCTGCCAAATGGTATTTATTGCATTCAAATTACAACTAACTGTACATTAAATCTGGTACCTAGCAAGGTGCTCAGCCCAAGGTAATTTCGTATATGAAAGCTCGTTAAAGCGCAATATAAAGAAACTAGACCCAAAGAAAATATCAGATCATAGAACAATAAAATAAAACCTGAGACATGAAAATATAATACCATGCCAAAATGTTTTACCTAATCCTTTTCATGAGCAGTCAAATAAAGACTAAGAAGTTAGGTTACCCCA